TTTCGAGCCCATGAAAGTGCCATTTGATGTCGAGAGGTAAGTCACCCTTGGAAACATGACAAGTAAGCTGAACTGGTTCCCCGGCAAACACCATCTCGTCGGTCTCGAAGGGTACGATATGTGGTAACACTGTTAATTCAGAAGGTTACATTTATTGCGAAGACAAGCGTGCAGCGTGCGAGAGGCTAGGGCGGCTAACGGACATTGGGAGTACCATGAACATTAACTGTGGTCGAATGAACTGCCAGGCCAGCGGCGTTAGCGGCATGACAAGAATATTCGCCGCTGTGGCTAGCTTGTGAACTAGATATCGTCAACAACGATGTCCGTTCGCCAATCTTCATTGTAGCTATTCCTTGATGCGAGGATAATTCTTGGCCATGAAAACTCCAATTGATTGTTATAGGGGCATCGCCTTTTGATACATAACACGTCAACTGTATAAGTTCGCCAGCAAAAACAGGCTCTTCGGCCGTAAATGGTACGATGTGAGGAGGAACTGGTGGGGGCAAATAAAAATAAAATTAAAATAATTATAACAAATCAGAACAACCAGTGTACCCTGAACATTTAATGTAGCTGTGTGGTTGGTGCTTGCTACAACATTGGAAGCTGTGCATGTGTAATTTCCAGTATGTTTTTCTGTTGCAGCCGGGATGGCTAACACTAAACTTCGGGCTCCTAATTTTGTTATTACAACCGCGTCAGACTTTTTTAACGGTTTGTCTTGAAATGACCAACGTAATTCTAGTGGCATATCGCCTTTAGGTATATGGCACATAATCTGTATGCTTTCGCCGTAAAATACGGCCTCATCGAACTCGAATGGGGAAATAATCGGTGCCACTGAAAGAGATAGTCAGTTTGGTGACAGATTTGTGAAACTAATTATATACATACATCTACAGTAATATAATTTGCCATAGGAGTGGTGGAAGAAATAATAAAACAGGACGCAAAAGCATAGACATTTCACCGAGACGATGTACCCTTAACATTGAGCGTGGCGTGGTGGCTAGCACTGGCGACAAGGTTAGAGGCGGTGCATGTGTAATTGCCAGAATGTTTAGCCGTCACCGCCGGGATTATGAGAGCTGAACCCCTATCGCCCACGTTCATGATGTTCAAACCGGTAAGTGAACTCACATCTCCACCATTAAATGTCCACTTGAAATTTAAAGGTTTATCTCCTTTTGGAACGTGGCACATGACTTGAACACCCTCTCCGTAAAATACTGATTCGTCGAATTCAAAATGAATAACCACTGGCGCCACTGAAATGTACGGAGTCTCAAATGATATACATACGTAAGTTCTTAAGTGTGAGTTGATTTTCTTTTTTGTCAGTTTATTTTTTATGTGGTTGGGTTATATTAAAATTAATTATTTTATGGCCCGCCAAAGTTACAAAATGGGAAAAATTAAATAAAAAGTAACTAGCAGGCTTAGATGCTTAGCGTAAGATACCATTGACGAATAACTCCGCAGTGTAATTCATGTTGCCAGCATCATTTTTTACCACACATGTGTAATTTCCTTGATTTTCATGGCTAACAGATTCGATGTTAAGTTGACTTGATCGTTTCGTATTCACAAGATTGATACCGATGTCACCAGATTTCACAGGTTTTCCATTAAAATACCATATTATCGTCGCAGGCAAATCACCTTTACTGATAAGACAAGTGACTAAAACCATTTCTTGAGCATTCACTGGACCTTCGCCGAATTCAAAATGTTTTATCTGTGGAGGGACTTCAAGAGGAAAATATAGAGGTTAATTGACACGCGTATCTAAAAAGATGATTACTAGATATCTTTACCCTTTTCTAATTTTTTGTGAGATACGACAAGAATCCGACATAATGCACGGTTTCAATTCATAATTCTGGGTTAGTCTTGGAAATGATCCGCATTAGCGGTTCCGGTTTGATAAGGTAAAATTTCTTAAATTACGCCGCTGCATCGATATCGTTCTTTGCCACACACGAATTCACTGATTTTCCTAACCTAAACGAAAATTCGATTTGTCTTATTAGAATTTCAGTCTTTTTATTGCAAGGAAAGGTTTGTGTGAAAGGAAAATAATTGTGTTATGAAAATACACAAATAAATGAATAACGTAAAAATCGTGCGAACAAAATTTAAGCAATAGTCGTAGATTGCGTTATTTGTACCGTTTACGTTGAGCACTGCACTGTGACTACTTCGGCCGGCTTCATTCTCAGCTATACAAGTATAATTGCCAATATGTTCGTGTTGAACATTTTCTAATATTAAAATTGAAACACGTTTCCCGTTTCTATTTATAAGTATACCGTTGCCAGAATTAAGTATTTTGTCGTTTAGTTGCCATTGAATTTTCAGGGGCAAATCCCCTTTGCCGACTGTACAAGTTAGAGAAACTGTATCGCCAGCGTTGAGTATATCTTCACCGAAATCAAACGGCGTAACCTGTGGCACAACTGATAGAATAGGTTCTTATTATTAATTATACCTAAATATAGGAAGGGTATGGTTTCCTTCAATAAGTTTTTTTTAAATTTGTTTGAATTATGTTTTTGATTGTATTTGGTCAAATTAAATCAAGCTATCGTATTTACCACTACGCATTTTGATATTTATGCTCACAAAAGATTTATAAACGGAAGGGGAAGGATATTGATAAAAATTGGAAAAATAAAGCAACTTATTAATAATAATGCATGTCATAATCGATCAAAATTTCAATCTAGGATGCAGGTACCGTTAACAGCCAATTCAGTTGAGTAATTAGCATATCCAGCTCTGTTGGCGGCTGAACAAGTATATATTCCTGTGTGAACGGATGCCACTGAATCTATAGACAGGCTGCTTGACTTATGTCCGATCCTAGTCACCGTGATTCCCTGAATATCACTAGTTGGTTTCCCATTTAAGTGCCACGTGATATTGACAGGCGTATCGCCCTTCGTCACCATACACTGCACTCCGACTGTATCGCCTGCGTTGGCTGGTTCGTCTCCGAAGGTAAAGGGATGGATTTGGGGTAAAACTGTTATAGAAAGCTTCGAATTAGTGTAAAAAATAATGTAGAAAAATTAAATTAATATGAGACTACATAGAAATTAAATCATAAAGAACCGTTAACTTCCAGGGTGGCGCTGTGATTAACTTGACCAGCAAGGTTTTCCACGTAGCAAACGTATAAACCTCTGTGAGTGCCATTGACGGAATCAATATTCAGGATAGACATTTTGCGACCCATGCCCCCGATAGCTATTCCCATGTTATTGTTCTGCGCGATGTTTCTTCCGTTTAAACTCCACGAGAAGTTAGCTGGCAGATCACCCTTGTTCATAACGCATTGAACCGATGCGGTATCACCAGCGTTGGCGGGCTCATCACCAAATTCAAACGGTGATATTTGGGGTGGAACTGTTGTTATAAAAAGCAATTAAAACAAATAGGTAATAAAGTAATAGAGACAAAGCGGACCGTTAACGCTTAGTATCGTGGTGTGGTTGGTTACGCCGGCTTCGTTTTTTATTTCACAAGTGTAGGAGCCTCGGTGAACGGAGCTGACAGGTTCTATGTTTAATATGGACGTTTTCTTGCTGATATTTGTCAGCACAATGCCAAGGTTGTTGCGGGCCTTTATTTCTTCTCCGTTAAATCGCCACGTGAACCTCACAGGCAGATCACCCTTGCTCATCACGCATGACACGGATGCTGTTTCTCCTTCATTCAATATTTCTTCTCCAAATTCGAAGGGCGTTATTTGTGGCGGGACTATACAATCAATAGGTATTACTTGAAATGGGTTAGGATTTTAGGATAATGCACACTACATAACCGAAAAAAGCAAGCTGAATGTTATTAGGATGAGTACCGTTGACTTCGAGTACAGCGCTATGATTAACTGAGCCAGCCATGTTCGTCGCCACACAGAGGTACGTGCCCCTGTGTATACCACTTACAGAGTCTATGTTAAGGATCGAGGTCTTTTTGTTGATTACGGTTAAAACGATCCCCATGTCATTGTTCTTTGGTATTACTTGTCCGTTGAGGACCCACGAAATGTTTAGAGGCTGGTCGCCCTTGCTAAGTGCGCAAGATATAGACGCCATGTCTCCTGCGTTTGCTGGTTCGTCACCAAACTCGAATGGCAATATTTGAGGGGGCACTGTGTAAAAATATTACTTTAATCTAAGAACTAGTGTAGGGACGTGTGTGGCAAACGATGTAGCTTTGGCGGGCATAAATCTCTCGGTCTATTCGACATTTGCTATTACACAAAATTATATTCATTTTGAATTATACATAGGTATAGGGTGGTACACAGAATTTCATCCCTGAAAATAAATTCGATTAGTATATACACGTAAAATAATAATTATAATACCATTCAGTACAACAAACAGTTTTAAATATTAACTAATGAAAAAGTGTCATTGAATTTATAGAAATGTTCTATTTTGCTTGGATTTTTATATGGTATTATATTCATTGAGAGAAATAGAATAACAGAAAGACAATTTTAAGTACCTAAATTATTTTGTGAATGAAACAAATTATCGTAATAATATGTGGTTAAAAATAATCTTATTTTGCGATATAGTTCAATCTATAAATCTTAAGTAGTTATCCGACGAAATCGTCGCATTCACAAAATAAAATTCGTTGTGGGCCTTTGAGAAAATTAATATTAGCTTGTCGTGGAACGAAGCTAATGAGGCCAATCAGATCTTTGTTTTGATTAAAATCTCTATAGACCTGGAAATCGAACCTAGGTTTTTGCTTTAGTGTCATTCACAAATTACAACCATCATTTGGGTACGCAGACAGTACCTACATAAATTTATATGTCTTATTTCGATAACATTAGAACTTTATACCATGTATAGCTAATTCACAAATGATTGTTGGTATAAGACTGCTGTCAGAAGGCTCTCAATGAAACAATAAAGATGGTCTCAAAGGCACCACAATTTTCAAAATCTCATTGCTTACGAACTTACCCATGACTTGAACTTCTAATGTTCCCTTAGCGGTGTATCCCTGAGAGTTCTTAGCTACGCAGGTGTAGGTCGCTTCGTCACTCATTCGCTCCACGTTTTCGATCACGAGGGTGCCGTTAGGGAAAACTTTCTGCTTGCGGTTGATGGGGAGTACCCTGGAATGATAATGCAGGTCAAAAGTAACTTTTTTATGTATAAATTACATCATTGAAAGTGGCACCGGTTGAATACAGAAACGACTGTTACATGTGAACTTTGAAGAATTGTTTTTCTGCCTACGATACATTACACTTACATACCATCGGCTATATTTACAACGTAACATATGATATACTACGTACCTAAAATTCGTTTTATCTTACCTGTATCAACGTCTGTTATATGCAAATGTTAAATTTATTCAAATCCGAACGGGAAGAAAAAGGATGGCATTTTATATTTACCTGTTATCACGTTCCCAAACGATAGAGTCAATCGGATAGCCAGCCACGGGGCAGTGTACGATGAGGTTGTCACCAGCGACTACGGGACGTTTCTTCATGGGTCGCACGTAGGGTAGGCCGTAAACGTTGACGCGAGCCGCGTGGGAAGCACTGCCAACCTGCAAATAGGGAAAACTCTCGCGTTAACTTCAATCTTTACCAAAATTCTAATCTCACTAATATTATAAACGCGAAAGTTTGTGAAAAGCGGGCGAAGCTGCTGGCAAAAGCTAGTTTTAAATTCTGTTTAGTTTATTTTTGTAGTTTTTTATCTCGTTAAATGTCCGGAACATTTTGAAAAGGAAGTACATACCTACTATAAAAAAGCTATTAAAGTGCGATCTCACATCAAAATCTATAAAACCAATATTGAAAACTTCCGAATTCAAACGGACGAAAATCTAGACGTTGAACTGAAAGAGTATATCATACTAAAAAAATATAAGTAAATTATGTGTCAAATATGAGTGATTTCTGAACTTTACTTATTGCCTTCAATTCAATGTCGCGACGTGTATTTTTAGAATCACAAAATTGAAATAAACATTTTTACAATTTTTACTAGGAAGGCATAAGATGTTTTTATCCCGACACATTATCGGCATATCGGCAGATAACAAAATTTAAATAAATGAAACAGATCTCTTTTTTAATTTATGTGGTGCTGCTGTTTGAAAAGTCCATAATAACCAACCAAGATGAAAAGATTGAGTTAAATTTTCAAGTGTGTACATAAAATATTTGAGTATATACAATAGTATATTTAAAAAATGAATATTAATTAACCTTTGGCTACTCGTATCTTCTCTAGTATTCTGCATGTTAATGGAGACTGGGGAAGTGGCATAGATGAATGTAAAGTAGTAGCTAATAAATGTTACCCACTCGTTACTTTCAGGAAGTGGTAAAAGAGAATAGTAAATATCCTCCAATGGTAGACAGATGTCCTCTTAGAATAGTAGGTGGACAAAAAGCAAATATAAATGAAGTACCTTATCAGGTAAAAAATATAATTAATCTATGACGTAACAAAAAACTTGCTATTGAGAATCAACTTTAAATAATTTTAAAATGTTTTAATGTCCTTTACGCCTCGTCAAAATACGATTTCAGATTATCATACAAGGATATGTACTCCCAAGTGATTATTGGAAATTAGTTGGTGGTGGAGCACTCGTTACGCAGCAACATGTTGTATCAGCTGCCCATTGTTTTCCTAAGTAAGTATCTTGATTTCATGCCAAATTGTTAATTTCCATTTAATCTATAGATATATACTATTATGGATAAATGAAATGCAAGACAAAAAATATTTTTCAAATCGAATCAGTAGTTCCTGTGCTTAACGAGTTCAAACAAACAAACTTCTTCAGCTTTATTAGTATGGAGATTAATACCTCAGCTATTTTATGCTTCAATTAATTAATACTTAAATTAGGCACAATTATTTTATATGTACCTATGTATTTTTTTTGATCTTATTTTATTTTTGTATCTGTGTGCGTGCCTGTCTGCTTACTATGTACACTTTGTGCATGGAGCGTTAATAAATAAATACTGTCAAATAAATGCTTTTTCTTTCTTATTATTAACACGATTTACATTCTCTAGGAGTACGTGGAATAAAGAAAGCTACAGAATCTTAGCAGGCACCGGCAAATTACGAAAAATTATTAATGAACAAAATATTTCTTCGATTAGAAGAAGAATTTTGTACTGCTTTAGACATAAATATTACGATGCGGATGAATTCACACATGATTTTGCTGTGTTAACGGTAATTTGTGATATTTTATTATTTTGTTTTATTTTTAGGTAGTGTAATATTATTATTTCCTTTATTTATTTCAATACTTGATTTATATATTTTTAAATATTTGATTATAAAAAAAACCTTTAAAAATATAAAAAGCAGTAGCCCGGGAGAAATCCAAGCTACCGGTGGTCAGGGCTCCAGAGAAAGGAATTTCCGGGCAATACGCGCCGTGTCCAGAAGTACTGCTTTCTGCATCAGGTCCTTGATCCAACCATCTAACGCTAGCCTACTCAGATGTTGGTCGAGGCTTTTAGCAATGAGGCCATTAGCAGATACGATGCACAATGACTGCTGAATCCAAATCCCACAAGTCGACAATCTCATGAGCTAAATCAAGATATTTACTTGCTTTATCTTTTTTAGCTTTCACAAGATTCTCGTCATGTGGGATTGTTATATCAACTATCATTGTGCGACGGCTTGGTCGATCTATCAACACAATGTCAGGTTTATTTGCAACAATTGTCCTGTCTGTGATGATAGTTCGATCCCAATACAATGTGACATCTCCATTTTCAAGAACTGGGTCAGGCAGATACTTATAATACGGCACTTCAGATTCTACAAGTTTATATTTCAAAGCATTTGTTGATGAATAATCCTGGCCATTGACATTAGGTCTATGCAAGTATTGTTTATTTTTCATTAGCTAGGTGAGAACAACCCGAAATGATATGCCGGATGGATTCCTCGGGATGATGACATGCCCGACAAATGTCAACAGTTCCATCCTTTATAATATATCTTCGATAATTGTTCGTCATCATAACCTCGTTGACAAAACCTTCCGTTTCTCCAAATAAGTTACTGAAACGTAGCCAGGATACGGACGCTAAGAAATCCGTATTTGGCCCATGTAAGGCCCATATTATTATTATATTATTGTTTATTATTGTTATTTCTATTGGTTTCTTCGCTCTTATTACTTTTTTTTATTAATTGGTTTTTATCTTGTTTGTGTAACACACTATATGTCTCAGTGTTGTTATTTCTTTTCCTGCCACAGGCCCACAGAAAGAAATTCCAGTTGGAATATGTGGGGCCTATGTACCTACTCTGTTTTTATATTATGTATTGTCCTCTGTGTTGAAAGTGTGTATATAAATGAATAAATAAATAAATAATAAATTATTATGCTGCTCTTAATACTAAATCATTTCTTCTCTCGACTCTCTATACGATTTAGTATTACTACTAATGTCATCACAATTAGTCTCAATTAGATAGGTAGTAAAGGATTGTGATGTTGATAACTTATATTTCAATCTTGTGGAGGGATAAAAAAAGCATATATACGGTCGAATTGAGAACCTCCTCCTTTTTTTGAAGTCGGTTAAAAAGAAAAAGTACCTACTTAAGGTTGGTTATCTTAAACTCCGACAGTATGTTTGTCGACTGGATTAGATGTATATTCGTCGTCCTTGTCTCTCAATTACTTTTTATTTACATGATTTTGCAGATTGTACATACAACACAAATATAAATTGTCAAAGCTCATATCACAATGATTCCTCTGTTTGCCCATAGTTGGACTTCCCTTTAAAACTCACGGAGAACATTCAACCTATTCCAATGATACGTCCCGACAACGGAATCCAACTCCAAGTAGATGGTTTGTGCTTGGTTTCGGGATTTGGAGCTGGTACAACTGTAAGAATTATTTATTTTAATCTTCATGCACACTTCCAATGCATAGACGGACTTAATGCACGTATTATATGTTGTCTACATTGGGTTGGTTCAGAGACGGGACCTATATTATTATTACCAGTATTTTATATAAAGCCCGAAGTTTATGTAGAATAATTATTATGTTTAGGTAGAACAATAATGCACGTAATTAGTTTAAAAATAAAAAAATTCGTTCCGATAAACTCGTATGTCATGTATGTTATGTACCTTAAATTATCGTATCATCTTAATTTTTAGTACAAATTATCGGTTGATCTCCGAATGGTGTGTGTTCCGATAGTGAGCACAATGGATTGCAAAAGATACTTCGGTGAACACCTACAAAGCCATCACTTATGTGCAGGAACGGAAGGAAAGGACAGTTGTTGGGTAAGTGGAATGATTTTCTCTTATTTATCTATATTTATCTTCAGATTGATGAAGTTAAACTTTTCCGTCAGGGTGATTCTGGTGGACCAATTACATATAAAGGATATTTAGTTGGTGTTGTGTCTTTTGGAGGACCTCAATGTGGGCGGACGCCAGGCGTGTACACAAGAATTTCTAGTTATACAGACGGGGAATATGTGCCGTTCGTCGCGAACCATTGCATTGCCGTAGCTATACATAACTTGCTTTACTTTAATATGTTAATTGTGATTTTTGTGTATAATTTATTTGGTTCGGAACATGATGTAAAGTTTTGAGATGTTACCTTTTTAATTTTTCTTACATTTATTTAGGTCTTCCAGTGGCCATGTAAAAAAGGTCTGTCTGCTACAAACTAATAATTGAAATTCCTTTTACCGGAAGTATGGATTGTGAAAGTATCTGTTGATAATCAACAAGATTTTAATATTATTTATTTATTTATTTATGCACAACACAGAGACAGTACACAGGAGAACATATATATAAATAAATTGGAGGTACATAAGTACTACATATTCCCATAGGAATCTCTTACTGCAGTCCTTCGACAGGAAAAACGGTAAAAACTAAGACACTGTGCGTAACATGACATGAACAAAGAAAAATAACAAAAATTACCAAAATTTAAGCCAATAGGTATTTAAAACACAAAATGAAACTGATAAACAATGTATTGATGGATACGTATGACAGATACACATCAAATAATACACATATTAGAGTATATTACAAATGAACATATTATACATATATATATGACACTAATTTGCACAACAAGAGGAAAGGTAATGCTCCCTTACGAATCTTTTAAAGATTGGGATGGATTTAGAGTCACAGATGTTAGGTGGTAGGGGATTCCAAAGTCGCACCGCATGAACAGTGAACGAATAGGAATAAAAGTCAATTGTGTGAGACAACAGAAAGATTAGATTTAAGATGAGATCGGGAAAGAGCCTCAGGAGGATATTACTTAAATTTTGTGAAGTAAACAAACAGTACCTTGCTCGATGCGATGCATGTGTACAATCCGCCGTCGTTCGTATGCACAGAGGAAATGTTTAAGTGAGATTCAACGTTGCCATCAGCGGTTACAAATTGTCCGATCTGAAGTCTTTCACCGCTGGTCAGTTTCTCGCCGTCCAGGAGCCACACGATGTCGGGGGTAGGGTTGCCAGATGCGACGCATTTAAGACGTAGAGATGGGCCAGAACGGAAGGTCTGTTCTCCAAAACTGTGACGAATCAGCGGTGGTTCGACTGAAAACACAATTTTAGATTTAAGTGGATGACGTAGAAGTATAATTGAAGTATCGTTTGTGTGGAGGGTTCTTTTACCAGCGGTAAAAGGAAGATGTTTTTTCCGCGTTGTAAATAACCTGTTTCCTACTCCAAATTATATGATCGCATAAAATTCCAAGAAGCGTTAAGTAAATAAAGTGCATAAATAACTATGTTTTACATTTATAATGTCAGTAATTATTGAATAAATTAAAAAAAAAACACCGTAATACATGAATAGTAGCTGCAGTTAAATAATATATAGAAATCGCCAAACTTACATCGGCCTCCCAGTTTCAACTCAGCGCTGGCTCCCGCACTTTCTTGGTCGTTCCTAATGAAACATTGATACATGCCCTTGTCTTCCTTCTTTACTGATTCGATCCTGAAAAAGAAATATTAATTCGTTAAAGAAATTTTTCATAATTTTGCCTGCTTTCGGTAAATATTTATGTAATTTTCTCTAATTTTATATTAGTTCGTCTACCTGAGGGTAGCATCATGGTGCTTCATGTCCTTGCCGTCCTTAAGCCAAGTGATCGTTTTCACAGGGTTACCCTCATATCTGCAGGTAAATACGGCAGGCCTTCCAAAATCTACGGTCTGAGTAGCTGGTTCAACGGTAGCTTTCAAGGGAGCGGTTACAGTCAAAACAGTTTCTACGGACTCGCCTGCAATTTAAAGCAAGTTATATATTTTTTAAATAAACATTGATAAAATGTTTCACTTTGTTATACACAATATTATAAATACTTACCACCGACAGAGTTATTGACAACGCACAAATACTTTCCAGAGTCTTCAACTTTAGCCTCTTTGATAATCAAAGTTCCTGATACTTGTTTTACTCTATCATCGAGCGTAACGGGTTGCTTCCTGGCTGTACCTTCCACGAACTTGTACCATCTGAAACAATAGAGAAAAAGTTTAGAAAAATTGTAATATTTCTTTACTGCCAGGACCACATCACAAAGTCAGTCTGTTTAAGATTTAGTTCTTTAAGTTCCTCCAAATCATTATTTTTAGCTGTTTAACATTTCAGAGGCTGATATAAGATTTCGTTCTAACCTAATACCAAATAGATACTAAAGTTCCTCCTAGAGCCACCCACCTGAACACCGGAACTGGAAAACCTTGACTTAGACATAAGATAGTGCCCGTTTGTCCGATATTCAACTCAGATTCTTGTAAACGACCACCAGACAGCTTGGGAGGGATACTGTTTGTTGGTTCTTAAAGAAGAAACAAAGCCAATCTAAACTATCACATAAATTATGTATTAAAGTGTACATAAGTACACGTCATGAAGAAACTGTTGATAACCAACTTATGGAGAAAAAAGGTGATATCCACGAAGATTTAAAAAACATAAAAAGCTAGCCGTTGGGACAGAGTTAAAATAAGCTACCGCATAAACCAGGGCTCTGGCTACAAAAATAAGTAAAGTGCAGCCTTGACTCACGAAAAGCACAAAGTAAAGATTAAAGCGTCTGAACGAAAGCAAGAACACCCTGACACTTACCAACAGGTGTCTACGCTGCTCAATCGTTACTTTGGCTGGGGACCATAATAGGGCGCGCGGCCGGCCGCGATTCATCACGCCTTCATGTCACGTGTGGGCGGGGCGGCCGCCGCAACAGACTGCAATAACAACGGATATCAGTACATTGGATGATGGGTATGGTATGACTACGTGATAAATGAATGCGTGAGACGCCGGCGGCCGGCCCTAACTCATTAAAGACCGTACCTCGTCAAAGGGGCTGGGAAAGCTTGAACGTCGCAAAGGAGTGCGAGGCTTTCACCTTCTCGACCTATTTGTCGATTGAGCCCATCGCCCGTCACCTTTGGCCCCGTCCTACCAGTCGGCTCTGGAATGCAAAACCTTTCTTGTATTGCCTACTCACCTAAACACTGGCGACGGATAAGCAGCTACTTGACACGTTAAATACGCCACGTCCATTTGGCGCACGGTGAACACTTCCCACCCTTCAAAGTGCTTAGTAGAGTCCTTGCGAGGTGCAATTTTATTGGTTGGTTCTGTAATTACAGAGACGACTTTTGCAAACCCTATTCTCATTGGTATTGACTTATAGATAAGTCAATTATATTGATTTCAAGTGCAACATTATACCTATACACACCTAAACGTTTCGATTTAGTAGACAATATTGAATGAGAATCGATATAAATAACCAAGTTTTGGAAATAGTAATGTTGGTGGTAGAGACCATAGACCACGATTGTTTTGGAGGAAACAAAAACACAAGTGGACGCACCTTGTAACTGGCACAGGAAATCCTTGAGCAGGACACATTATAGCTAGAGACGATTGTTGGGGATATAATACAGCAGGTTTTTGTGTTGTTGTGATACTTGGAGCTGCGCTTCCGATCGGTTCTAGATAAAAATCCAAAAGAAGAATTACGTGCCTAGTGTTTACTGAGTAAAATTTTCAATAAATAGTTAGTTAATTTTGCAGTTGAGACAGACCATTAGAAAACAAATCTTACAACAAACTTGCCTGAATACGGGTACAGGAAATGCCTGTGCTTGACACAGTAATCCAAAACTTTGTCCGACGTTGCGTATAAAAGTTGTGCTACGAGCATCCGTTGAAAAAGTCGGTGCTTTGGAGGCCACAGGTTCTGTGATATGAAAAAAAATATCACTTGCCTGAAAATTGGAGCTGGATAACTCTGAGCCTGACAAAGTAGAGTAAAAGGTTGTCCAACACGTTTTCGAAAAATGCTTCCCATCGATTCAGTAGAAAATGTCGGGGACTTAGCGCCAACTGGTTCTATAACATTGTTTTTACTACTAGTTAATAATACGAATTTCAAACTTGCCTGAAAATTGGAACAGGAAAAGCTTGAGCTTGACAAAGTAGAGCAAAACTTTGACCTTGATGCCTTTTTATAGACGAAAGAGCCGATTCAGTTGAAAAAGAAGGAGCCTTGGATCCAACAGGTTCTGCATAGAAATTACAAGTTAAATTTGAAAATGAGACATATCTCAGAAGAATCTGTTATCAATGAATAATTCTGTTTTGAACTTATTCACATTATGTGTTCATAGAGATTCGTATCATTCATAAGAATAACTATAGACAGTTTGTAACCATACATTAGAAATTATAACACTTGCCTGAAAACCGGTATAGGAAAAGCTTGAGCTTGACATAATATTGCGAAACTTTGACCTTTATGTCTTGTCACCGCTGACAATGTGAAATCAGTGGAGAAGCTAGGTGGCTTGGAGCTTACGGGCTCTGGAGAAAATAATAATCGATTAATTCCGACTTACCTAAAAACAGGAATAGGGGATGCTTGCGCCTGACAGAGCAATGCAAAATTTTGTCCAATTTCTCTAACGAATATACTGCCCTTTGAATCGGTCGAAAAGGAAGGAGCTTTCGCACCAACAGGTTCTAAAAGAGGGCACAAATACAGTAAAAACAGAACCTACCTGAATACTGGTTGGGGATACCCTTGTGCCTGGCAAAGCATAGAGCCCTCTGTGTGAGCTTGTATTTCATAATTATATGAACTTGCGGAAGTAGGAAATGCAGGAGCTCTCGCTGTTACTGGTTCTAAACCAAGAAAACAGTTTTTCTAAATAATGAGTCACTCACTTGAATACCGGAGGAGGGTGAGCTTGAGCCTGACACAAGAGAACAATGGCTTGTTGGACCACTTTCGTAAGAGTTGTGCTTTTAAATTCCAAAGAAAACGACGGTGCTTTGGACCCGATTGGTTCTGTGACAAATATTTAATATTTCATTGATGATGTAAGTACAAAATATGCTTACCTGAATATTGGGACAGGAAATGCTTGCGCTTGACATAAAAGAGCAAAATCTTGACCAGTTTTACGAGTTATCCCAGAGAACTGAACGTCGTTCGAGAATGTGGGGGACTTTGAGCCAACGGGTTCTACAATTGAAATAATTAGCTATGATTTATTCACCTGAACACTGGTACTGGAAAACCTTGAGCGGGACATAGGATGTTTAGACTTTGGCCAGTATTCCTCACATACCAAGAAAACTTATTATCAGTGGAAAAAGTAGGTGATTTGGATCCGATTGGCTCTAAAATGAAAAAAGATTATGGTTAACTTTACCTGAATACAGGAATGGGGTGTCCCTGGGCACGACATAGCAAAGCTAAACTATGTCTTACTGGTCTAATGAACCATGCCAATCTGTCATCGGTAGAAAATGTAGGGGGCTTGGAACCAACGGGTTCTGTAAATTGTTAGAAGTTGTTTTAAACTAAAAGTGCTCACCTAAATATTGGTACAGGATACCCTTGCGCAGGACATAATAATGCGAAGTCCTGATTTTGTTGAATTTCAAACCAGGCTAGTTTGGAACCGCTTGAGAACGAAGGGCTTTTGGAGCCAATTGGTTCTAGAAAAATTAGTAAAAATACCTGAATAAAGGGGCGGGGAATCCCTGTGCCGGACAAAGTAACGCGAAGCCCTGCTCAACGTTCTTTACATACCACGCCATTTTGAAATCCGTAGAGAATGTAGGGGCTTTTAGACCAACAGGTTCTAAAAACAAACGCGTCCTATTATTGCTGGAGTCAACTCACCTAAAGACAGGGACGGGGAATGCTTGTGCCAGACAAAGCAACGTAACACTGGATTCCATCGCGAATTCCACAAATTCTATCGTTTTAGTGGGTACTTTTGGTGGTGCACTATTAATTGGCTCTAGAAGAAAATAGATAGAAACAATTCACTAAGTTTACCTGGATAAAGGTACTGGGAAAGCTTGAGCGGGACACAGCAGCGTTACGCTAGCATTAATATAGGCACTGAAACCTCTAACATTATCCATTGTTGGGAACTTCGGAGGAACTCGTCCTACGGGTTCTGGACATAAATATAACCAATTTCCACATAAACTATTAATATTATTTTTTTACCTGAATATTGGAACGGGGAATGCTTGCGCAGGGCAAAGTAATGTGACAGTATTACTGAAAGACACTTCTATGATATCGATCACTTTTGTAGCTACTTTCGGAGCGGCGCTACCCAGTGGCTCTAAGAACAAGTTACATAAGATGATTTTATAATAATTCATGTTCATTTATATACCTGAAGGCCGGGGCAGGGTAAGCTTGAGCGGGACACAAAAGAGTGACGCTATCACCTCCATTTGCATCGAATGCACGACTTTTGTCGCCTGTTGTGAATTTTGGTGGAACACGACCAACGGGCTCTAGGACGAAACAATTATTTTTGCTGTCGATTTAAATCTTTTGGGAATTTTACCTGAATACTGGGATCGGGAATGCTTGTGCTGGACATATCATTGTCAAGCTGGTATTAAATACGGCGCTAAAGCTTCTTGAGCTATCCACTGACGGGAATTTTGGTGAAACTCGCCCCACAGGCTCTAAAGACATAAGATGAAGACAAATGAATGTACCTGAAGGTTGGGGCTGGAAACGCCTGAGCTGGGCAGAGCATTGTCACACAAGAATCGAAGGAGAATGTAAAACTGCGGCCAGTTTCAGTTGATGGAAATTTTGGTGAGACTTTACCCATTGATTCTGTATAGACAATTAAGAACGATAGACAATTAAAAATTACCTAAATGTTGGTGCTGGGAATCCTTGCGCAGGACAGAGTAAAGGTACTCCATCGCCCATGTTAGCAATAAATGTCCTACTTATGTCTCCAGTTGGAAATTTTGGCGATACTCTTCCCATAGGTTCTATGAAATTAACGTTATATTTTGCTTATTGTACTTAAATATGCACAAACTTTGGGTATGAAGCTTTTTTCATTTTGCTTACCTAAACGTTGGGGCAGGGAATGCTTGAGCGGGACATAAAAGCGCTACGTTTTGATTGCTGTCATAGTTGAAGAGTCTACTCTTTTCTAAACTTGGAAATTTTGGTGAAACCTTCCCCATAGGTTCTGAAGAAAATAAATTTAACATGTACTCACAATTGAATTTAGGAACAAGAAATACTAGATATACCTGAAGATTGGGACTGGAAACGCCTGCGCAGGGCATTGTAGAGCAAATGAATCAAGTTTCTTGACGCCGATCATTGTTCCCATCACAACAGATGCAAATTTTGGCGGAACGCGTCCGACTGGCTCTATAGAAGTAGCGAAAAAAAATATCGAAGTTAAAATTACCTGAAAAGAGGAGTTGGGAACGCTTGGGCGGGACACTGCAAAGCGTAAGAATCGCCTTTTCTAACTTCAAACATGGTTCCTGTCAATACTGAAGCAAACTTGGGAGAAACGCGGCCAACCGGTTCTAAAAATGGTCATAATATTACTTGAATAGCAAATGCCATACCTGAATATGGGGACAGGGAATGCTTGAGCTGGACATTGCAATGTATATGATGATCCCGACGTGGTTACAAACATCATGCCCACCTGTGTCGTAGCCAACCTAGGGGGCACGCGCCCTATGGGCTCTGTTGGAAGTACGCAAAACGACGTTAATTTGACTCTTACCGGTATAGCGGTGCTGGGAAAGCCTGTGCTGTGCACAGTAACGAGAGGCTGGAGAGCTCGCTAAACTGGTAGCCACTTGTAGTCGACGCGCTAGGGAACTTGGGCGGTACCCGGCCCACTGGCTCTGCGCATGTTGGGAGAAGGCGAGATCACGAACAGAGGACATCAAAATATTCGGATATTCAAACCCTAAACACCCCTACTGATCCCTATGTATACAACGATCGCGCGAGTCAAGGCTCTGCAGGGCACCCTATCCCAACATTCAGGCAAGTTGTAAATCGATAACGACAAACTTAAAGACACAACAAAAAGTTGTGTCTTTAAATTTTGTAATATAAATATAATTAGTACAATAAAAATAATCTTTCTTTAGTTGTAATGAGCATTAGAAAATAGCATAATGAAAATACACATTTAGTACATAAGAGGTGTTCATGAATTGTACGAGAAGATTATAATTATTGCACATCATTTTATAAAGGTATTTCAATCTCTAGGTAAGTATAATGTTCTCGTTTAGTTTAAGTTTCATCGTTATATGAACTATAAAATATACTATAAGTACATGTACCTACTGATTTATGTGAGTAACTAAAGTTTTAGTCAGAGTATCAAGTTAAATAACAGAATCGAGAACATTATATTCTTATTTAATTTGCATTGATCTGCAGTGTATAGTAAGAGTATAACACTTATTGGTCCAGTAAAAAAATAAGAAGGTACAGTTATAATTATCAAAAACAATTAGGTAACATTGTTACAAAATAACATTATTTTTCTAATTATTATATAACTATTCACTGCAAATAAAAACAGTGTCATTAATTCATTATTATTGGAATTCTTTATTATGAGCAACATTTAATGGTATAAGTAACGGTAAATGGCGATGACAAAGTTATTGTTAAATGACTGAATGAATTGATGACACTTAAACCATCTGGAAGTTTATTTTATGAAAACTCACCGGTAATGACAAGTCGTCCCTTAGTAGCAGAAAGTCGGGTTTCACCAGTAAGCCTGTGCTTTGTTCTACATTGGTATGATTTGTAACCATCCTCGGGTCCGACATCTCGAATATGCAATTCTCCAGATGGAAGTACTAAGTATTTACCCTCTGTTGAGAAAAAAAAAAGTTTTAATTATCTATTCACAGATTCTACATAGGAAAGCAATTCAATATATTATGCAACACAACATAAGGTTGTGATTTACTTATAAATATCATTGCATGCATTAAACTAAGGAAGAAGGACAAAGGATAAAGGTAAGCCGTGAGGCTTATGGAATCACGGGAACCCATTTTAGGAACAAAGCCCTAAACCGTGTATAGACATAAAATAATAGTAATGAACGAATGCGATCTATCAACGTTTGAAGACGTAACGTTCCCAAGTTATTACTAGCGATAAGGTTAAGGCATAAATAGCCTGAAAAACAATTTACTTCGTACCGTCAAAGTTATTCGTCGATTCTAACTTGATGTCTAATTCCTGGTCGCCTTCGCTGATGATCCAAGAGATGACCGTAACATACTCTGACACAAAGCTTGGTATGTGACATTTTAAAATGGCGCTATTGCCTCTCAAAACGTACTCTTCCATCAGGTTCACGGCGTATGCCTGAGATACAACTGAAACAATATTGTGAAGCCTGAGTCGAGTTTAATTAATGAATTTGATAGCAGTTTTACAACTATCTTGACCTTTTGCACCATTTTGTTTAGAAAGTTTTTATATTTTTAAATTATTTTAGGATAATGTGTTTTGGTTGAGTGGGATTTAGGGAGAAAATATTTATTTCAGAGACAAAACTAGTATACTTAGATCAGATGAAGCATTAATTTTGATTTCTTGCTCTTTTTCATCTTCAGAGATAATCCAGGAATTTACAGCTACGTATTCAGAGACAAAACTCGGAATTTGACATTTCAAGATAGCAGCGTTGCCACTTGCCACGCAAAACGTATTCTTCCCAAAACTTTACGTCATACGCTTGGGAGACGACTGAAATCGTTAAAATTAAATATAATTTGAGTAAAACTGTAATGTACTGGCTGTGAAGTTCGATTTATAGATAAACGACGCCTATGAACGAAGAAGTAAGAGGAATTTAGGAAAGGAAGGATGCCTCATTGTGGTGAAATGTCGATCGATACGAGTTACCTAAATTGAAGTCGGAATTCAAATTTATCTCCACGTCTTCCTGTTCCCCCTCGGAGATAATCCAGGAAGTGACCGTGACATATTCGGTGACGAAACTTGGAATATGACATTTCAGTATTGCGGCATTTCCGCGCAAGACGTTCTCTTCCCACAGATTGACTGTATAGGATTGAGAAACCACTGAAAATAGATAACAATCAGAGTGTGAAGAGCAGCGATAGGAAATATGGTACAATAATATGGAAGTGGATAAGTTTCTGGAGAATTCAGTTTTATTTCGTTTTACTCAATACCTAAGTTGAACGTCTCATCTAGTTGTATCTCTGTTTCTACAACATCGCCTTCAGAAATGATCCACGATGACACAGTAACATATTCTGTTACAAAACTCGGTATGTGACACTTTACGATTGCTGAATTTCCACGTAGAACATTTTCTTCCATCAAATTCACAGTGTACGCTTGAGACACAACTGAAATAGTTCAATTACTTGATCTGTGATAAACTTTCGAGATAATGAAAAGCAGGAAAGGAAAAGGGTTTGCTCCATGGTAGAATAGTCTACTGCAGTGAGGTAATACCCAAGTCATTAGATTCTGCTTTTATTTCCAGCTCATCAGTTTCTCCTTCAGAGATAATCCAGGACGACACACTAACATACTCGGTCACAAAGGTCGAAATATGACATTTCAAAATAGCTGCGTTGCCACGTAAAACGCTCTCCTCCATGAGATTGACGGTGTAAGCTTGAGTAACGACTGTAGAATTAGAAAAAGAAACCCCATGAGCAAAAAATGATTTTCTCTCAAGAAGACCAAAAGTTAAGGATAAGGAGAGGACTATCAGATGGAGAATAGTACATTTTCATTTTAAGTACCCTGTACGTCAACATAATCGTTTATCGATATTTCAACTTCATTGTCTCCTTCAGAAATAATCCAGGTGGCTACTGATACATATTCCGTTACAAAACTTGGAATCAAACATTTAATTATAGCTGAATTGCCCCTTAAAACATTTTCTTCTACCAAATTAACTGTATATGCTTGCGAGACAACTAGAACAACAAGTCAATACTTATTGAATACTGAAGAAGAACTTAAGAAGAAGTTATCTATCCCTAATTATTAACTCCCTATAAATTAACTGTAATGGATAGGATACAGAGGTGCGTATTTTTCCAATTTTACTGAAATATACCGTAATTTTCATTTATTGTGTATTCTCCATTCTCGGAATCGTGCCAAGAAACTACTTGTACATGATCAGACACAAACGAGGGTATATGGCACTTGAAGACTGCAGCGTTCCCGCGAATAACGTATATGTCGTAAACTTGTGATTCGTAGAACTGATTAACCGCTGAAATATTTTACATCCAAATTAGACTATGTATACAGCGATGGACATATTGCCTCCGACACGGGGATTCAGTGGAGTGCGGATAAGGACAATTGGGGCCGCGCGGTACTCTACTCTATTACCGTAATTGCCCTCAGAGCGGTTGAACGAAAACGCAGAGAGAGATTCTTCGTCTGCCACCCAATCCACTACATGAACATAGTCTGCCACGAAGGATGGAATCGTACATTTGACAATGGCAGAATTGCCTCGTAGAACATCTTCATCAATAACACGAGGTTCATAAGATTGATGGACCACTGTGGACGTCGAAAACATAACCTAACTATTTTATTAAGTACAAGTAATTTACTTCTTACATACATAATTTCCAGACCTCAAAATTATCATCAAAACTTGGCCAAAAGATTAAACTAGGACAAGGAAAGAGGAATAACATTAGGTTTACGATTTGCGATCAACAACTACCGTTGTTAAAATTAGAGTGTTCTTCAGCAGACACCGTTTCATTATCCATTATCCAGGCCACAACATGAACAAAGTCCGCAACAAACGAAGGTACAATGCATTTCAGAATAGCTGTATTGCCCCGCAAAATAAATTCATCGTTGACTCTAGCTTCATACGCTTGAAGTACAGCTGCGACAAACAAAGGGAATCAGGATTAAAGGATTGTTTTCTCCTAGTGAGAAATTACCCTCGCTACTGCTGGGGTAATATGTGCCTCCTTCGCTGTCCATCCACATTTCAACATATACAAAGTCAGAAACAAAGCTTGGCACTTCACACTTCATAATGGCTGCGTTGCCACGAATGACGTACTCGTTATCGGCTTCGGCTTCGAAGGGTTGTGACACCACTTTACAAGAAAACATTTTAATTAATCTGACGAAATGACTAAGGAGTATAATTGGACAGGAAAGTTGGTTTAGAAGAAATCCATAGAGGTGTACCCTGTGCTATGCTTGTATTATTAACTGTGAGGATTTGTCCATCTTCCATAACCCAAGCTTCAATGTAAACGAAGTCACTAACAAAAGATGGAATCTTGCAGTGAACAATAGCAGTGTTTCCTCTTATCACGTACTCGTTTTCGGCTTCGGTCACGTAATACTGAGATACGACTGAAGAATAACAATTAGAAGCATAAATAAGTTGGAACGGTTCGTGGTGTAAGGAATTGTTGATAGAACGGGAAGCAAATATGATTTTTTTAAGAGGCCATTGTACCGAGGTCTTCTGAGTGAGTAATCTCTGCTCCCACCTCGTCGATCCATGCTTCCACCTTCACAAAGTCAGCGACAAAAGAGGGGATAGAACACTTTAGAACAGCGGCGTTTCCGCGTATCACATATTCTGTCAGAATCTCTGCTTCGTAGAACTGATTAACAACTGAAAGAACACGTGGCAGGTATATGACTAATAAAAGTCTAAACATAAAAGGAAATGGTGGGGGGATCAGGAAATAGTTATAAAATCACGTTGCAACTGAACTACCGATGTCATCGGTCAGCAAGTATTCGCCGCCATCGGAGTTAACCCAGGCTTCCACTTTCACGAAATCGGCGACGAAAGAAGGAATATTGCATTTAAGTACAGCGGTGTTTCCTCTTATTACATACTCTGATACTACTTCAGCTTCGTAGTACTGTGTTACAACTGGAATAAATGTACGACTTAGATTGAATTTTTAGGCAGGATATAGGATATGGACATTGGGAGCTAGAATGAAACTGGTATTTAGTTGAATGAGTGGTACCATCTCCTTCCTTATTGTCTTCGTGAGGAAGTAAGGAATTGCCAGCCTCGTCATGCCAGGATATAACATAGACAAAGTCGCCAACAAATGAAGGTATAGAACATTTAAGAATAGCAGAATTGCCGCGAATCACATATTCGTTATTTACTTCTGATTCGTATTGTTGCTGTACCACTGTGGAAATACCATTATTGTAGTTCAAGTGTGAGCTATATGAGATGGAAGAGTGGGATAGGAAGGGGAAGGAATTAAATGGTTGATAAATTAACCATAGTTGTCGCCGGGAAGGAAGTCTTCGTTGTCATCAGTGTGCCAAGAGAGAACTTCTATGAAATCGGCTACAAACGACGGGACCTGACACTTGAGCACGATACTGTTCCCCAAAATGACATACTCCTTATTGACGTCGGTGTCGTAATGTTGAGCAACCACTTTGTAAACATGAACATAGAAGAGAGTCGATTAATATTGACTGAGGGGCAATATTAAGGGGGATCAAAATATTCAAACACCTAGATGAACAAATTAAAGTATCAACAAACAACCATAATTCTGAGTTCCTGAAAGAAAAATGTTAATAACATACTGGTAACATAAACAAATGTAATCTTTTTTCGGTTTTAATAGTCAAGAAATAATGCGAATTTTAACACACTTTAACACATGTAGATAGGTAAATGAATCGATAACCTATTACATGCAATGAATAGTGCATCAAATTTAAATAGTCACTAAACACATCTTCTTCCTTCTTGATTATTTAATTGACCGCACTTGACCTCGTGTCATAAGGGCAGCGCCCTATGATGGTCAATCAAACTTTTATAATTCTAAGCAGCATTGTTACTCTAAATTAGATGTACGACTTACTGAAGGGAATGATGTTGATATAAACAGCTTTTATAAGACCCATACCCATGGGGGTCATATCATGACGACAGAGTATTTCACCAAACTATTGAAAGAACGTTACTCTGAACCTCATTAGCAATTGATATTAGGTACATATTAGCTTGGTTACTATAACCTAGGTATACCTATTAATTATTAATCAAAATTGTTGTAATAGTCTACAACGATTCAGTACAATCTGCATGTGTTAAAAGTTGTAGTAAATAACTTGCATTATATTAACATTCTAATATAATGTGGCGCCTTTTACGGCGTGTCCCTGCTATAGACATCGCCAAGTCTCATTAAGCACGAGTGTGTAACATTCAATGCATTTACAAACGAATGAATTGTTGTTGATTCCATTGATGGATCCAATAGATTAAATGTAGTGATTCTAATGCCGGTAGTTAAATAACCAATTTGGAACACATTACATACAAATAAAAGATACTTACACTAATCATATAATGAGCATCTGAGTATCGAATTTCAAATGAAAAGGGGGCGATAAGTCAACAAGTGGAAGCATTCGGTTACAAACACAGCCATCATGGTGTCAGTTGACACAGTTATATCCAGCATGTCATGTTTAACCCATTAAAATATTTATAAATCTGTCATGAAGCTTTATGGTGCTTCTATACGGCGCACGCGATATACAAACTTGGTTTTATTGTAACACAATCTCGTACTTTATGAAATCTGGCTGCAACTCTAGTAAAGTTGACGGTTACTTTCAATGTGAGCTGTTTGTCCGTTAACAATTCAAAAATATTTACTGAAGGTATCTGACCCATGTAAGTACTTAGAGTGCCTTGCCAACGGACAATAGCTTAAAGTATGTGCCTCTTAGAATTAGTAATTTTATGTAAATATTGCTTACCGGCTCGTACGTTAACATCCCTGGAATGAATGGTACCAACAGAGTTGCGAGCGAGACAAGCGTAAACTTGGGCATGAACTTCTTGCCGGTAATCCTCCGCTCGGAAAGGTGGAAATAAAAGGTTTCCGTTCGCTTGAACCTAAGGAAAATAATAAATCTAAGTTTCAGCTTGAAAGTACAGAAAGTATTTTACAGTAAATATTTAATATGTTAGACACATTGTGTATAATTATGATGATGCAGTCGCTTTCTATTAGGTACACTTAATTATCACATTGAATTATGCAATAGGACATTCTATGCGGGTACCGATAAACAAAATGACCTTGTCAAGTAGGTGTAGTGTACCGTGTAGGCGATAGATTCGTAATAAAACTTCTACATATTAAGTATCTCGGTGATCCTTTGTTCAATGCCGCATTGAGCTTTATTAACTTCTTTCCTAATAATAATTATGAAGTCCCTTCTTTTATTTTAAGAACAGAAAGAAACAATATTTATTTGTAATGTTTTACAAGAATGTAAGTACTTAAAACTGTACCAAGTGACAAACAATACATATCAATGGAGGTGTCCAACGTTACCTGTCGCAGTCCAGGGACATCACCGACAGCAGTTCCATCAGATCGGACCCAGATGATATCGGGTGACGGGGATCCTCGTGCCGCGCATTCTACAGTCGCTCCAGTCGTGTTGCTAAAGTCCACTCGGTTAGCCGGTTCCTTCATGAATATCGGTCCTATAGTTTCGTCCTCGCATAGCACTGACCCTGAAAAAACATGGAATTTTAATGAACGTTACGGAGCTACAATGTGTTTCTTATATTGTAAAATGTAAGGCATGGTGTAAGTATAGTCAAATTCTATTTGCTTGATTTTTATTATTAATACTAAGCTTTCTTTATTTTATAGATAGAACTTTTTTATCATTATTGAGGGTCAATATTTTTTATTCAAATGGGGTATTTTTTTATTGTTGAGTGCTTATGCTAAGTCATCATTCAACTTTAGATTATGATATAATCACTTGGTGCTCCTAAATAACTAAACAATAGGAGAAGATTAGGGTTTTTGTATATTTTTACAACAGTATATGATTTGTTCTGAGCTTGTTCGTTCGTTTGCTTACTCAAACACTAGTTTAAGGGAACAAATCCTCGACCCAGTTTATAATGAAGCCTGGATATAATCCAGCACAAGTGCGACGCTCTCATACCACGTCTCGCTACTTGTTTCACTAGACGAAGAGCAGAAGAGTGACACTCACTAAATGTTAATTAGTGACCTCATTTGGTCAACATACTTTATAACAAATGTTACATACTAATATCCTGTCCTGTGCAATTGAAATATTTCTACTCAGTAAAGGAGAACGGCAGATTTTGTACCGCTTCGCTAAAAAAAGATTTGTCATTAAAAAATTGGGTCATTATAGAACCTCCTAAGTACGTTATGTTAGCATATTTAATAGATTTTTAAAACTTGGGAAACCCTAGAAAAACTGATATTCAATAATGATAAAAAGCAATCCACTATACGTAAAACGAACCGCGATTGACGTTTACAAAGTTGCCATGCGTAAAGATGAAATCAGAGCATATTGAATTTCGCTATTTCAAAAACTCATTTATTTTAATATCTATCAATGAAATATTTTCCTTTCCATTTCAAACATTTTTATAAGTAAATATAAAAATCTACATCCAATCTAAATCTACGTTTACATGGATTATTAATGATAATTAACATTTTAACAAACTTGAATATTATGGCAATGTCGAACTGGCATTTGTCTTGATGACATTGACAATTAATTTGTCAATACTGGCGCATTGCTGTTTGTTTCAAATGCGATGATAGGATGTGTTTGTTGAATTTGAAGTTATTTTATTCATCTGGTGATACGTTGAGTTTGGCAACCGTTCCTCCGTAGCCCAAATTGGTATTATTGGCATCATTGTTGTGACAATTGCGAAAAGACACTTATTTACATTATTTTGTGCAGTGTGTTGTTATTTGTCGCGATGATGAATTTACAGTGTATTAATTGCATTCAGAGTTTGTCGCACATGAGACGGCATGCTCTAGAAAATGAGAGTGAAGATTAGACGTGGTCAACAATATCCCAATGTGGACTTATCCTAGAGATGTAAGTACCTAGTTTACCCATAACATATCGAAAGTCACCATGTTCCTGAATAAAAGAAGGCGCATAGTGTTATCTACCCATAATGTATCATTTTATTCTTTTTATTCTAGATCTCTCCTACCGACCATATTTGCAATGCTTGCTGGCAATTAGCAATGTATCGGGATGTTGCTGAAAGTATGTCCAGCAAACAAATTGGTCACTGGCATGTTTGTGTCGTATATGGGCGATTCATTGCAATGATAAGGTGACGCAGGGTTTTAATTGAAGGCGCCAACAAACAGGAGTAAAGACTGGCTCATATAGTATTTGATTGGATTCAGCCACAAGAGGTAATAAAGCATAATTTAACCATACTATTATCTATATACAGTGTAATCTAAAGTCAATATCATATTCTAATAATATTACTTATTTTAGCTTACTTCCCATGATGAAGATCATGTTCCATACTGACTGAGAGACCGTACAAGAGTCGAAACTATAAAACCACAACCTGACATACCACCTCACAGTGTTCACTATCAGGAAGTAATGTATTATGTAAACATGGACTAAGCCTCACTTTAACATTGCCATTTGTAGAACAGATGAGGCCGGATGATGTTGTTCGGCTCTCAAAGCTTCAACAGGTATGCATTCTCAATATAATGTACCTACATAATTATGTATCTATGTGGAGTATATAAGCGGTTTCTAATAGGTTTATACTCATGTTATAATTATAATTTATTAATTAGCATGCTGTTTGAGCTCCTATGATCTGTGTTATACGAATAACTATAATAAATGTTATAAAATGAAGTAATGTAATCAAATATTTATTTTTATCTTTTCCATTTTAAGATAGGGAATTAGACTTATTATTATAACATATAAAACTAAAGGAAAAAAATGTACTTTTGTTTACTTTATTTACAGTTATCTTACTTGTTTACAGATATCAGCAATTGATGTCTGCTGTATTTATGACACGGCCTGTTCTCTTTTTAGATGAAGTACTCCTAGAAACAACCTGAATACAATGAAATAAAAGTATTTCAAAATAATACATTTGTTTTATTTTAACCTAGTAAGTAACTATATATTCCATCTTAATAAAAGTGATTTTAAGAATCAATCTATAAAATAAATGCCATATTTAATTTGGATAGCTTTAGTTTTATACCAAAAATGTTCATTTTCCTTTTACATTTTCTTTAGTTGTAATGTGGTGGCCCAGAGGTTTAAGAAGCCCGCTTCTCATGCATGAGAGTGCGGGTTCGAAACCTACCAACGGCAAAGTACCTTTTGTCCAATGTGTCTTTTTTCCGAGTTATTGGTATATTCAATAATCTAAGAAAGTACAAAGACACCGCTGACGAATGGTGAAGGAAAACATTGTGAGGAAACATGGGCTTATAATTTCTTATTATAAGTTTGAATTACCAACCCACATTGAGCTAGTATGGTGATTAATGCTCAAACCTCCATGCGAGAAGAGGCTTCGGTCAGCAGTGGCCACTTATAGACTTAATGATGAAAATGTTGATGATTCTACTAATTTGACTTACTTATTAGAAATTAATCCTTACATCCGTGCTAAGCAACCAGTTTTCAGAAGAAATACTTTCTCAAAGAGCTAAGCTAAGTTTAAATCGAATTAACTTGAGACCCTTGAGACTATCTACCTGCAAGATTCAAGGTGAAGTGAGACATTAGTTTTATCATATCCGCCACAAGACTTCCACTGCTAAATGTAGGCCTTCTACCCAATGACAGTCGCTTACATTATGAATTTGCATTTTCGTAGGCACCTAAGAAATGAAAAAGATTGTGAGGCATACTCTTTAAAACTCTATAGGTGCATCATGCTTGCTGAATTAACAGGATCATTCCTAATTGCCTTTTGCGCTGCGACGCACCATAGGTTATTTTTTGGGTTTCTAAATTCTTGTTGTGTGTCGTAGCAAAATAAATGGTTTTTCTTTCTTTCTTTCTTTCTAATAATACAAAGTGTAATAGTCACTTGAGTAGCGAGCAGTATTTTTAGATTTTTGTTTTTTGTAAATAAACAACCACATGAGAGCACATTGACATTTTTCAGTTAACTGTCATCTGTCATTTGTAATAGATATTTTGCTTACGGTGGCTCTACACTTGACGTTGCGTATTTGTTGTGTTCGCCCAAAAAAGAACATGTTTGGAGGATTTATTCTTCTTTGTTTGCTATATATTTGCGCGCCATTACATATAGAGATACTATTTGGACGCCATTTGTACGTAGTCTACAAATATTTGGACAAATGAAGCGACTACGCAATGTCAAGTGTGGTACCACCTTAACATACCTTTTGCACATTTTCCAAGTGAAATAACTTTTGAACCCCAAGTTCTAAAAATATGTAATTTTTTTCTTAACTTCATAATAAAAATATCTATCGTTCAGACTATTCACTTGGTTAAAACAATGACTAATACAAAATTTTATAGCGGTACAAAACTTCCATACAAACCTGCCATTCTCCTTTATGAAGTCTATAATCCTACTAGCGTAGATCTACCCCATGAAAGGTGCTCATAAATGCTCATAAGTACACCTCTAACCTATGCTCGATTTGCGACTGTATGTAGCAATGATTTTAGTAATAAATTTTTAGCTGTGAAGAATAAAACTTTACTTTCAATTTATTTTCCCCTTACTAATTAACGTGCTTTTAATACATAATATTAAAATTATCCGAAGAGTATATGTTTTTCATATTTAAATTAAACGGTCAAACCTCTCAATACTCTCCAAATACGAACCACTCCGATGAAAGACAAAAAATAGCAACAAAGCGAACAAAAAAGCGAGGGCGTGTTGCGCGCTTGCGACAGATGTGCGCTGGCGCACGCTCCTGATTGGTCGTAGCTACGACAGATGTTCTTTACATCACAACCTGAACGCAGGATGCTGATTCAACTAAGATTTATCTCAGCACTTGTGACGGTTTCTATTCGATTTAACTAGCTATTAAGTGCCACCAGTTTTCTACGCTACTTACGCATAAACACCTTAATATTATTTATCAATGTGTGCTGATAATGATAAGGTTTCTACACCAATGTGTGATTTATTCAATTCTAGCCCATATTTTATCAGTTATTTTTGCAATAACAGGCCGATCATGTAAAGGCCTACATTATTTCTCTGGGGTTACGACGAGATCGGTATGGGGAAAACATTGATATTTTCTTAACCAATCTTTCCATCAGTTCGATTTTATAAAATTCTGCTCATTTATTTCGTTGTTCGCATTATAAAGCTCTTACACATTTTGTAAGAATAAACACTGAAAAAATACGCAAACATTAAAAAAAATGACGTAAAGTATTAATTTAGCGACCACCAAAATTTTCTTTTATCACACATTGCGCACATGTTTATATTTGTTATCTTTGGATAGTGTAGGATAAAGCGATATCAATGAAGGTATAGATCAGTGTTGACCGTCACTTTCGCTAGTGTTTCGTACCACACATATCAAATCATGTATTGCTGAACTGAATGAAGTAAGTATACATAACGTACTTCGAAGTCATTTGTCAGTCTAGTTTAAATTACGTCAGTTAGTATTAGGCACTTAATGTAGGTAGTTA